ACGATTTATTTTTGGCGTTACGAATAACCTGCCTGGCCTTTGCTCTAGCCTGTTTGTATTTCATTAGGTGGACAGTCTGTCGATTCCGTCTAAATCGGTTAAGTGCCCTTTTACGATTTCGGATAGCGTCTTTGCACTCTCCGTTCCACCAAGGGCAGCTATGTTTTGTTTTCCCGTTTTTTTCTGAGGAATGTTTTCCTTTGCCACTCCGGCTATAGCCTCAGTCATAGTCGCAAGTTTGTCGATACTAGCCGTTCCCTCAAATCGCATATCACACTTGTCCGCAAATTCTGTCCATTTTGCTTTGTTCACATTCCACCAATGAAATGTGTGTGGGTTGAGTTCCGTTGTTTGATCCATTTCGAATGTAATATACAATGGACAGTGATCGCTAGAGTGCAGATCATTGTCAGTACACCATGTCATATACTGCCATACTACTGGATGAGAGGGTTATATCTATGTGTGACCAAAGGCCAGTATAATCATCCATTCTTATTGGGCACCCATCGTTCAAAATATGCAATGCATGTTGTCGTACCACATGTTCCCACAGGTTACCTCTTTGATCGCACCGATCTGCGCCCCACATGTAGTGTCGACTATTGGCATCTGTGCATGGGATAAACGGCTCGAGTAACTGAGAAATTAAATTATCTAAATCAGGCGATGTCACTGTCTCACTGGGGGGTAAATAGAGTGAACACACACATAATCGCGTCTACCAACCTTCACTAAACGAACCACAGCTTGTCGTAGAGTATTCACATTGATTTGGAAATGTGGATAGTTGTTGGTACATATATGCAAGTCCCTCCTCGCCTTCCATTTATGGTTCCATACCCATTGTATAGCGTATAATTAGTCATCCGATAATCATACCTGCCAGCAGGAAGAAAATGGGTTTCTTGAAGGCAGATAACGCCAAGATCTTTCTTGAGGAGCACTGGTTTAACCTCTGGCCATCTCCAAAGAACTCCTCTGCAATTCCAATGCAAAATGCTTAGGGCCATGCTAATTAACACAAGCACATCACAATTCTTCCTGCCCCAAATCCAAACTAAGCCCCCAAAGAACAAAAGCAAACAAACAACAACAACAACAACAGCAACAACAACAGCAATGCTCATCATCTCACCGTGACCATCGACATCACAAATATCAGCATCATCTCAAGGCAAGACACAAATAGTCATTACAAATATATATGGAAAATTACGTCCCCTCCTCCCATGGTCGTCCGGTAGTAGATATTACACAAATTTTCTCCAGGGATCTACCCTTCCTTCCAATGCTTTGGGAAGATAAATATTAATAATTTTTGCAATTGATATCCATCTCATGTCCCTTATCTTCCTTGCTCTTGGTCTTGTTCTTACCTTTGACCTTCTTCCATGTATCCTCCTGGTCTGCCTTTTGATCTTCTTTGTTCTTTGTCACTTGCTCACTTTCGCTACATGTTGTCACCTCATTTATATGCACCACCTCCTCACTCATGGACTCATTACGTGTCTCCCTGCCTGCCTCAGTTTGCTGACTCTGCTTATCATGTGAAATGGTTGTTCCCTTGTCGGACTGCTGAGCACACTCATGAAACGCGACAGGCTAACCAGCTGAGGCGCCCCCGAGCGGTGAGCAACTCTGGCACTCGCCGATTTAGCTACAGAGCATCGGATTTGTTTAACTGCCTGCCGCCCGACTTGCGCAATGTTCAGAGTCTAGGCCGCTTCAAGCGCCAACTTATGGAGTTGCTACTGAGTGAGGCGAATGTTGGCGCATGAGTGGGTGCGTGTGTGAATTCGATTGTGTGTGGTGCTACGATGTGAATGCAGTAGTGTGATTCACCGAGATGATTCCTCGACCGATGTGTGATGTGTTAGGCTATTTTTATTAGGTTTCACATTGTCTCTTTTATGCCCGTTTTTATCAATGATGACGTGCAACTTCTAAAAAGCCACTGGATATTGTGGAAAGTTACGAAATATATGGACATGGACATGGACTGAAGTTGTTTCGCCATCTTTGCAAGTATAGCTGTCATCTCATCTGTCTTTTTCGCCAATGTTTCCACCTTCTCATTCAATTCCTCTCCTTTTTTCGGTTGGGGCACATGCCACAGTGGAGTATGCCATTCGAGCAGGGGGTTAGTGACTAGCAATGTATCGTTTCCTAGCCTCAGCATAGGGGATTCCCTGCCGCACCACAACTCATGCACTTTGCCTCACATTCGTCCTCATGCGCACGCCCACCACACTTCAGACATGTCCGGCCATTTGTGCACCTTCCTTCGGGGTCCCCATATTTACCACATCTTTAGCAAATTAATGGGTTGGGCACATGCTCATTGACATGATAAGTTATGTAGTCCGGTTCGCTATATAACTTTTATGTGGTCCAGTTTTGGGGGGTAAATTGGCGCGCCAAATGTGAGAAGTATGGTAGGGGTATTCTCAACCCTTCCTCCCACCTTCTTCGTAAACCTCTTTGCTCCCATCACACCAAACTCCTTAAACCAGTAAATGATCTCATCCTCAGTGATGTCCACTAGGTCATAGCCATACATAGTGCCTTTGCTATTGTTTAGTTTGGGGTCACGGCGGACCTCACACCCCTCTCCCACCAGTGATGATACCTTCAGAAGCTCTTCAGTTTGGTTCTGTTTTTTTTTCATCAAGAGGCTCCCATCCCGGAGGTGGCTTGCCTTCTCTTCTTTGGTCTGTGTCCCATAGATTTTCCAAAATTCAAGGTTATTCTCAGGTACGAACCGGCATTGAGGTCCACGACGTCATTCCAGAAGTTCTCCACCACATCTTCAGCTAGGTATCGCTTTCCAGACCCACTATGCAGTACCATAACTCCATTCAGTCGGTCAGCGCCAATTCCCACCCCTAACCCAGATCCACACTTGGAAAATTTTATTAGTCTGTCAGTGAGCAATGGAATAAAGTAGACACTTGAAAAACTCAATCACAAACACAATCGAAAGAATCCCCTGACTGGTGATCTCACCCACGGCCCCAGCGTACGCCCTCCTGAATCACTGTAGATCCCACAACGCCGAGGGCAGTTCATGACCCCCCATGAGTCACTTGTCCGACCCGCGTCACCACCGTCGGGGCGTCTGTATACCCGGGGTGAGGGCCATGAAGTCTCTCGGCCGTATCTTGTACAGTAAACACTGCCGGCCGCACTTGGCATGAGCGTCGAGTCGCCTCCGGCCCCAGTTGTGCCACGTCCTCGGACCGTGCCGCACCATGTTGCTGCCGCTGCTGGTGACGCTGCTACTCAGCCAGGCCTGGGCCGACCCGTCGCCCACCCCGGCCACGGGCGACACCTCGATGGACCAGGTGCTCGCGGAGCTGGCCACCTTCTACGAGTTCACTGTGAGAGCGGCCACGGCCGCGGCCCACCAGAGCACGACCCAAGACCTGGACCACATCAGGCAGACCCTGGCAGCTCTCGTTTCCCGGTTGGACTCCCTGCAAGAGGTCCAGAGCTCTGTCTCCTCAAGGCTGGACTCTGTGCAAGAGGTCCAGAGCTCTGTCTCCTCACGGCTGGACTCGGTGCAAGAGGCCCAGAGTTCGGTCTCCTCACGGCTGGACTCGGTGCAAGAGGTCCAGGTCTCATTCTCCTCAAGATTTGACTCCATGCAAGAGGCTCAAGTCTCATTCTTCTCAAGATTTGATTCCCTGCAAGAAGTCCAGAGCTCTGTCTCCTCAAGGCTGAACTCGGTGCAAGAGGCCCAGAGTTCGGTCTCCTCACGGCTGGACTCGGTGCAAGAGGCCCAGAGTTCGGTCTCCTCACGGCTGGACTCGGTGCAAGAGGCCCAGAGCTCATTCTCCCCAAGATTTGACTCCCTGCAAGAGGTCCAGAGCTCTGTCTCTTCAAGACTGGAAACGGTGCAAGAGGCCCAGGTCTCATTCGCCTCAAAGCTGAATTCCATGCAGAGCTCGGTGTCATCTCGGCTCGACGCTGTGCAGGAGTCCGTCGCAGCGGTATCCTGCAGACCGGAGGCCTTATTGGACGGTCTGGTGAACATTCAAACTACTGTCAACCGTCTGCCATGTAAGAGACTTCGAGCGACTGTCTACATTCGTAATCGGCCACGTAAATTCCACTCACTGTCTCCATCGAGCATAGGTATCTGACTTAAAGCTTATGTCAAGTAAACAACACAAATTGCTTAAGCATGACCGATTCTGTGCGATATTTCCTTTCTTATGTCTACAAGACAGAACAACAGCAGCTTTCGTTCATAAAACGGCCAAACACGTCTCCATGGTTTTGTTAATTTTAGGATGAGCTATAACATTTCAGCAAGGTAATATCAACAGCCGCACACCAAGTGAATTCTAAAATACTGAGTGGTCCTAGTTTTTTTCAACGTGGAGGTCTTCATGACCGTAACGCAGCGTTGCGAACCGCTGGCAAGCACGACACATTGTGCAGCTCTCGTTCACGGGCACGGAAGATGCTACCGCATGCAAGATGTCAGGGTCCCGGGTTTAAATCCAAATAGGTGTCATATCTTGATTTGAAGTCTTCGGAGTTGGAATGAGTGCGCAACTTTTTTGAGCATAGACTGAAGTACACTCACGCTTTTTCACTTATATATATATATATATATATATATATATATATATATATATATATATATATATATATATATATATATGTTCCGCTATGCTCCGGCAGACTTATTGATGAACAATTTCTAATCCTGCGTCTGTTGGCAAGTGGTGAAGAATATCACGACACTTTGCGCAATGTTGTTGCGAACAAAACCATTGGTCACTGCCGTATTGTTGCTGTTCTGTTGTACAACGCCCACGTCAATCCAGCACTACCGAACTGTTTCGATAAAATCGAAGCGACCTTTTGCTGCCACTTCATGACTGCTTGCTGTTGCCAGGGAGGGTGCTGGGTGACGCGTGCGAAAACAACGCGGACTGCTTCAGGGCAGTACCTAGCTCGAGTGTGACAGCGACGGCACCTGCACGGTGCACCGCCGGCTTTAGGGCGGATCTCCCAGAAGTGAGTGCCAAGCCCGTCTGCTGTCGGAGCCGTGCACGACCGACAGCGAGTTGCCAGGTGAGCGGGCGTCACGTGTGGTGCTGGCGGTGGTGACCTAACAGCTCTAGGATTCACGTCTAGAAAAGAAGTCATTACATTTGAAATAAAGAGCGATTACCTCAATCTCTACCTACCCCTTCCCCCGGTCATCGGGCTTCTTTCCAGAAAAAGTTCCTGAACTACACCCCGAGCATGCCCCCCCCCCCCACACTTTTTGAAACGTGCCTACGCCTGTGATGCAGTATAAGTGTTATACAGCCGTGAGGATAGGGGACATTTGGCAGCTAAATAAACGATCTGAACTACAATCTGTAAGCTGACGGTTTTTGTCACAGTCTGCAGCAGGCAACATCCGTAGTAGTTGAAATCGTTCCCAAAATTGACCTGTTCAAACAAGCCATGCGTTGCCACGTTGTCACCCTTGGTGCAGCGGGCGATGCTCTAAACATAGGATGCGTCTGCATTTCGCACTTCTCTGCTGGCTGGGTATTTCAAATGCGCTAAGTGTTTCCAGCATGTGTTTCCTGTGAAGGTTGACAGAACACCCAAAACAGCCTTTCCGTTGCAGACTTTTCAGCCGTGAAGATGTGCAATGGAGAGCCATGGCACATGGTAAACGCGGGCCTTGAAAACGTACACATTACAGTTGATAGCACACGGTACCGCGAATAATGTTAGGTAAATGCTAAAGCATAATCGGTGGAAACAAATTTAAACGATTTTCCAAATAATGATAAGGCCATTCAAAACCGTCAACAATGGAAACACCAAACCATAATGTAAATAGTGAAAAATGAAACGCTAAAATATCCGCCATGTAGTAAAAATTTTACCCCCTACCTGCTCGCACCGCCGACAATAGCATATTATCATACTGAGCCCGTGCATTACCAGACGTTCGAACAGCCTAGATTATGTCCGGAATGTTTTGGTCCGTCTTTTCGTAAATTAGTTAATTTTGTATCTGTTGATTTGTTGGTTGCGTTCCTATCTGTATGGACATGTCTATCTCACAAGTGATTTTGTATGCGCCCTAAAGGTGATGACAAATGGAGCGCGTGGAGCTGAGATGACGCAAGCGACTCCGTCGGCCTCCCCAGCGTCTGCATGTCAAGCCCAGTATCTGACACGTCCTGCCAGTTCGCTAGAAATGTGACCGTGTATAACAGCGTCACCCTCTCATGCCGCCACTGAGTGCGTTGGCTAATCGTTGCAGGCTGTGACGACACATTCGGTGTGCACGGACGGTGTCTGCGCCTGTGCGGCAGGATACTGGAACCGAACTAACAGCGAATGCCGGCCAGGTGAGAGCCCGACGACAATCCGCGCCACATCCACCATTGTGGGACGTGTCAGAGCCCGACGACAACCCGCGTCACATCCACCACTGTGGGACGTGTCAGAGCCCAACGACAACCCGCGCCACATCCACCACTGTGGGACGTGTCAGAGCCCGACGACAACCCGCGTCACATCCACCACTGTGGGACGTGTCAGAGCCCAACGACAACCCACGCCACATCCACCACTGTGGGACGTGTCAGAGCCCAACGACAACCCGCGCCACATCCACCACTGTGGGACGTGTCAGAGCCCAACGACAACCCGCGCCACATCCACCACTGTGGGACGTGTCAGAGCCGACGACAACCCGCGCCACATCCACCACTGTGGGACGTGTCAGAGCCCAACGACAACCCGCGCCACATCCACCACTGTTGGGACGTGTCAGAGCCCGACGACAACCCACGCCGCATCCACCACTATGGACGTGTCAGAGCCCGACGACAACCCGCGCCACATCCACCACTGTGGGACGTGTCAGAGCCCGACGACAACCCGCGCCACATCCACCACTGTGGGACGTGTCAGAGCCCGACGACAACCCACGCTGCATCCACCATTGTGGGACGTGTCAGAGCCCGACGGCAAACCCGCGCCACATCCACCGCTGTTGAGTGTGTCAAGAATGCTGCGTGTCTCGCACGGCTCCCTCAAGAAAATTTCTTTGAGAACAGCATCAATGATCTTGTAGACGTAGGGACCAAATGATGGCTGGTCGAATCATTCTGGAAGCGCAAGCACTGCTGGCACCATGGATAGTGCAACAGTGAGCAGCAATCTAACTCACTTTATGAAAGATGTGTGCAAATCCTTACTCCACATTGTCACAAGCATTTGAGATGTGGTTGCAATACCCGTATCATCAGTGTTCAAGGCGGAGTTTGTACAAACATCTATGACATTAATTCCAGCCCCTTGTCTCCGGAGGCCTTAGGAATATCTAAACCAGGATAAAAGTCTTAGGCGATTTCCAGTGCACAAGGCAAACAAATAATTTCTGGTGCTGACTGCTATGGCGCATACGGCGCAAAACAGCGTGAAACAAAATTTGGCACCTCGGACTTGACGTTCAAAGCCCAGTCTTACCTATCCGTGGCGTATACGCGAAATGTCATCGTTAAATCACGGTACTGAGAGACGCTGCAGCTGACCCATATAACATTACAGGTGTAAGCGCAGGCCAGGCATGCACCTTCGACCAGGACTGCTCCACGCACCGCTCCAACTTCACGTGCAACTCGGGCGAGTGCTCGGAACGCGTCTGTCCGGGCGTCGTGCATGGAAGCTGTAAGTGGAAAAATATGTACGCAGTGTCGCGCCATGATGCAGGTGTCCAATAGTAGGCGTTACATTTGTAACGGAAGGGCAAATGTCTGCTCGTTCTTGAGGTAAGGATCTGAACGATGCGAGGGAACCCGGCCATTGTGTTTCCCCATGAGGGTCAGGTCAGGTCAGGTTCATGATTGGACTATCAGTAGCCCACACAAACGCTACTTTTTGCTTTCTTTCACAATGTGCTCTTGACCAAATTATCCAGACACAAAACTACCATTTTAGGCTGACATAGTTGTAGTTTTGCTGACCAGTTGGAGGTCAAATTAGGTCAAATTTCTAAACTATCGACTTTGAAAATTGAATTGCTAACCGGGTATGCGAATAGTGCAATGCTTTTCTGCGGTAGTTAACTGTGTACTGTATATCTGCAGGCGCTCAGCACCGCGTAACTGTGGCACGCGGTATACATAGCCCATTCGGCGTTTGACAATGCTGGTGTAACAAACTGAGAACAGGCACATTTATGCATGAAATTGTGCACCACCAGCTTCAGAAACACAACATAGAGGTGGTTACACGCGTCACACTCGTTCATCTAACCTCTACGCTACTGGCAAAATAAATCATTGACTTTGGGTGACATCATATGGTCTGGCGTGTTTTCGCGTGACCCATTGTGACCTCATTTTGCATTAGATTGACACGACAACAGGTTTTCAGTATACCCGCCGAATTCTGTGCCCCAAATTGCTTTAGAGAACTGCATATTTCGAGATCATGTGTTTTGCGGGACACTCATGGAAGTAAGTCATGACCCGACCTTAGGTCATGCGCTCTGTGGTCATATGATGGTTGTGCATGCGAGTTAATACTATTTTCCTCATACACAAATACCAAACTACACAAAAACACGTACACGTTTGAAGCGAGCTCTCTTGGCTGCGCCCTGGTGGTAGCTCATTTCGTTCAGATTATATTCGCTATTCCGGAAAACTTCTCAACTTATTATTACCATCCTAAAACTTATTCGGAAACACTTCCCAGTGGAGACCAATGCCTCAGGTGTTCCAGAAGGATCCCTTTCGGCTTCACTCCCCCTTTCGATGTTCATAAGCGTTCTACTGTGCGTCACTCAGTCCGGCTGCCTTTTGTACGCCGAAGATGCCCGAACTTTTCGCCAGTTTGTGTCGTCATCTGACGTGCAATTCTGCACCTTGCCCTCGCTCGTACAAGAACATAGTCCGTTCGATGAGGATTAATGCGCAATTCTGTCAAACACAATCGTTCATAATGACTCTTAGGCGCGCGCTAATCCAAAGTATTTCATCACTGATACATCGATGGAGCATTTTGAGAAATCCATGACCTTTGTGTCCCTCGCAGGCCTCGCGTGCAGTTTTTCACAATTACAACTCGACAATAATTACTATTACAACTCGACAATAACTCTATTAATTACAACTCGACAATAACTACAACTCATTAACTACAACTAACAATAACAATTTAATTACAACTCGACAATAATTACTATTACAACTCGACAAAACTCTATTAATTACAACTCGACAGCAACTCGACAATAATTACAATTACAACTCGACAATAACTCTATTAATTACAACTCGACAATCTGGTGATCAGGAAACCTCACATTGACTGCAATAGACGGTAGCGCACCGCGTTCAGCAGCAATCATTTAGAGGCAGAGGCAGAGGATGACGGAGTGGACATGTACGGTGCGCTGTTTCTGTACGCCTGTGGGCTCCAACGAAGCTTCCTACCTGCAAAAAAGGCTTCCTTTGTGCCGCTTCCCCGAGAGTCCGTGAGTGTGCATGCGTGCATGCGCGCGCGCATTAAATGCCCCTTCCCCCCCCCCCCCCCAAGCGAACATGACGTCGCCGTTTGGACCCAACAGCCAATGAGCGACCTCCCACTGCTAGAAAAAAATATTGACGCTCACACAGCACTTGGCTTTCTTTGTAGCCACATATTTCACTACTAGAACAGATGATCTGAAGAAAAGGATCACGCGGAAGAATTAATCCAGGTTTCAATGGTCTTCACACCGATTACACGTTGCTGTGCTGCACTCGATGACTGACTACTGCTACTAAGCGTCAACACGTCACAACGGATTCCGTGGTTCCGTCGTCTTGTGAAAGCGCTTGGACCGTGGTGTGTTGGGCTTCCGGCACGCTCGCTGCCAGCTTTGCGTCAGAGCATTTTGTACAGTGCAGTTTGGCGAGTGGGGCCCTTTTCCAGCGACACATTGTGAATCGCTCACAAGCCTCCGCTCGCTCATGACAGCTTTTCGCGCACTGACGCCAATGATCGGTACGCTATGCGCAGGTTTATTTTCCCTGAATACGTCCCTTTCCTTATAAATACAGAGCGGTTAGTTACGCGTGACGTATATGATAGGAGCCGGAAAATTCATGAGCAATGAGGGTTATCGTTAGTAAATATAAGGAAGAGGCCATTGAATGGCGCTGTGGTTGCGTCCATCCAAACTTGGAAAACTATGCCATGTGAGCACTGTTGACGTTTCAGATGAGTACCGGCTGGCTGGAGGTAATTCCTGTGCGCAAGGCCGAGTCGAACTCAGACCCCTCGGCGGCACTTGGGGCTATGTCTGTGACGACGAGTGGGAGGATGTGGACGCGTCAGTTGTCTGCCGAACATTAGGATTTAGGTACGTGTTTTAGGTCGCTGTATTTTTTGAACTCCCGGCACATTATGAACCTTTTTTCCTTTTCGCAACATCATACGCTGCATTTAATGTCCATCGCCACAACACCCTCACTTCGATCGCCCTGGCAAACAGCGACGCCGGTGGGGTTACTTTCATGCGTGCAACTGTTACCAAATTTTGTGAGGCATTGATACGGCGGTAAATACTTGCTCCCATGTAATTTCAATTAACTGCAAGATGCTTAGCGTGGATTTCATGTCATGTTCAACATCATGCTGAATGAGTAGTAAACTACCCACATTTATGAGCTGACCAGTGCCAGAAACAATACATTAACTGGTCATGTATTCAGACGTTCCATACACTACAACTGTGAGGTACGCAACTTAGGTAATGCATTTCGTGATCGCGAGAACTACTGGAATAAAAGATCACTTGTTTTTTCAGCGCTGGGAGAGCACACTGCTGCTCCGCGTACGGTGCCGGAGGACCTGAAAACTTCTACATGGATGACGTCAGCTGCAGTGGCTCCGAGAGCCACCTGAAGAATTGTCGCCACAGCACCCGGGATAACTGCAGCCGAGGAGAGGTGGCGGCGGTCACCTGCAGTGGTCCCCAGCAGAACGCCTGAGCCTGAGGCTACAGACTGAGGACTACAACGGCCAGCCTGGCGTTTGCTCGGAATCAAGCAAAACATAAGATGTCTCACACCGATGTGACAGAAACTGCTGCATCCGGCAGCGAGCCTGATATCGATCCACAGTTTTAGAGAGTGGTAATGGCTTTGGCTCACTTCAGCATCTTTCCAGGCTGCTGGGAGACTCAGATCGGGTTGCAATGATAGACATATAGAAAAAGGCGAAATACAAGGCTATCCCCATCTCAGACATGAACAGAACTCGAGCCTACAAACAGCCTGCGATTGTCAAAGCCCTTGGCGAATATACATCCCAAATCACAAAGGGGTAGGCAGGTAACATGCTGCCCATTTTCCGAAGGCACGACCAACTCACATCGCTATATATTGCTCTAATACTGTCCCCGAAACGGCCCTTGCCAAAACACATGATTCATGTCAAATTGTCATTGCGGCTCCGAAGACGTGAGACGCATCACACAATTCGTGATGTTCCGTTGCAGAAAATGCTGCACCTTGCGATGAAAGAAAAGGGCTACAGCATTGATAACGACAAAAGCAGTCGCATTCATCTGCACCGTGCTGTTTGCGAAGGACGGCGACGCAGTGGTGGCTGAACAACGGCAAATTTTGCCGTCTATGTGAGGCCGCGTTTTTTGCGCTACTGCTGACAAGACATGCTTAGCGTCACGTTGGCAGCTCAACAGTCACTGGATGACGTCATCACAGTCCGTTTACACCAGGAACACGACATCATATCGTCGCAGACAACTCGGGATCATAATCTTCTATGGGACACGGCAGCAATTTTGTCATTGCACGTCACACGCGGTATCATGAATTGCTCCTGGTGCTGAAATGTCACACGTATGAAGACCAAAATGCACCCAAGCGCTCCTGGTAGTGATGCAAAAGGTCATAAAAAGGCAATTGGTAACGAGACCGCTTTGTTTTTGTCGTTCCGTTACATAAAGTGAGAAACAAAACCTGGGTCGGTCATGTCCATGAGACTCCTGCAACACTTCACACTTTATGTGAGTATAACATGCGTGAAATACACCCAACACTAGCCACTTCTCGGCGATGAAGCTTCTGGGCTCCAGAGCGGTCATGTCGTCTGAAGTTTCGTTCTTCCTATTTTCACGTTTGGCAGTCGCCGACTTCCTGGGTGCTCCCTCCCTTAACTGATTCCCATTTCACCCCGGCTGCCGTTCGTCAGCTTAAATGTCGCACATGTGCCATTCCTCTGAGGATTTCGGGAGCGCTGGTTACAAGCCGCGCATGGCGAGACAAGTACACACTCAGCTATGACGCCATGCTGAAAACTGTAAACCTGGGCTCCACCCTACCCGATGTAGCGACGCATTTCCTAGGCGTCCCCTGGAACCACAGTGAGTCCCAGACAACAGACATGTGTTACAATCTTTACGGTCCTCAAACGCCTTCTTACAGTCACCTTCAAAGCCTATTTCGGCCAGCATTGGTCTTTGCTGCACGGAATACAGTTTACGGTACATTGGACGATCCCATTTCGGGTGAATGCGGAAAGAAGCCGCGAGTGATAGCAGGCATCGAAATGAGCCAGCAACACAACCAATATCCGTGATCAACATGTGGCCGTTACGTGATGTCACACAAGAGGGAGTGACGTCACCCGTGCTATGTCACGCGTACCATGTCACCCATGCCATGTCATCCATTTTTGACCCAGGTCCTGTGGGTATAAAGGGCCGGCACTACCCAGCGGCGATGATCACCAGGACGCGCACGCTCTGCGGGCGCAGAGGTCGCCACTGTATGGGGAGGACACCATGAATTGTAGTAGACTGAATGTGACCATCACTAGGCCCCTATTCTCCGCATATAGAGGGCGCCACCGTGGAGCGGCGAGCTCCACCGCCAGGCGCCGGCCCTGCAGGTAGGCAAGGCGCCGCAGCAGGGCAGAGACAACCACGGCCAGGCCAACTCTTGGCCCGCACAGGTGGCGCTGATGAGGGGAGGAGGTGACCACGACAGGCCAAGGCTTGGTCCGCACAGGTGGCACTGATGAAAGGAGATGGCGAACACGGTCAGACTAAGCTTGGCCCGTACAGGTGGCGCTGATGAAGGGAGGTGTGTGTGTGTGCGTGTGCGTGCACTAAACTAAGAGCACCCAGCACCAAGCGCAATATGGTCCTGAAGTAACACAATGTGATATAACAATTGTCAAGCTACTTGACAAACCAGTTAATGCTGCCTTCAATGGTTGAAATATAAATGGTAGCCATGACTCACAAACATCTTAATTTTTCATATTGACTAATCTAAGCATATCTTTTGGAGTCATAAAACCATGTAAAAACTGTAAAATGTCACAAAGCATTGGCACAAGACATTAAAAAATATCCAATGTAGAGCTCAAATAGCACCAGGAGTTGCTTTCCAGTGCATGTTCTAGAACACTTTTCTCATTGGGTATCTTGAAAATACAAAGTCTCCAAAAATGCTGCTTGAGTAACTGGTTAAATCAAACATTGTAACACTAGCAGACATAAAAACCTCCCCCTTTTTTGCAGAGCACTGACCAATATATGGAACCTAAAGATATATCAGCAGTATATCTTCCTTTCACATAATCTGAGCAGCTCATGACAACTTTGGAATACAAATAAGATATACCCTGATAATCCATAGGAATGGTGACCATGGGGCATTTCTGTATTACCTGGAAATCCTCATATGATGGATTCATCTAGTGGATATCAGTGAATGCCTGCCTACAACCAGCCTGTGTCTTACAAATTGGTGGCGTTTCAAAAAATGTGGTGGGTAATATTTTTCAATGAAAAGGCAAAACAATACTGTTTTCCGGTATGAAAACTGTTAACAGTTGAGACAAGACCTACAGTTCAGGTATGCAGTTTGCACAGTGCTGGTGCACAAAACTCATGCATCTTCACTCAAGAAGACACCATGAACTGACCCTACAGTATGTGCTGACATATGTGAGTTTTACCTGAATGACAGATCAACAACTAATGCATATGCAGCATTTTATTGCTGCATGTGCAGCCATAAAATGAAAAGAAAGCAGATGAAAAAATCAATGATATTTAAGGAACAGGTAGTAATAGCTTTATTCAACATTAACAGATCACTGAATTTTATGTGATCTTTGCAGAATTCCTTGTGCCTTTTCTTGGCCCAAGCGACATGGTGCCTGCCACTGCCACCAATAAACACCCAGTGAATACTTAATCAACGAGCACATCCTCAACCAGCAGGGTACTGACAATTACATCAAGCATGGGTTACAGGTGCATTGGGTGAGGAAAGTGTGCCTGGCTGCTGAGATTTATTCCCTGGAACCTGTTCCTTCTTCCCATTCCCAGAGCAAGAAAAAACATGGAACTGGTTTTAGGTTTGGTGGTTGGTGCCAACCAACCACCAAAACTTTGAACTGAGCTGCACTAACTGAACTGAGCTGAACAAAATGCATGCCAGTTACAGAAGGAAGTAACACAACATATGTTGCCTCGGTATCTTGTATTGAACAACCATAATATTACCTTTTGTACCACTTATATTGTTCTTTTACTCTTATTTATCTGGAATATTTCAACAAGTCATCCCTCATAATATAGCCATTTTGATGCTTAAAACACATTTGACAAACTGTGACCAGGGCTCAACCATATAAATATGTTTGGTTATGGGTGTCTGCCCACTTAGCAGTGTTAAGCATTTGGCCATTTAGGTAACAGAAATGTTAAAATTCTCACATGTTATTACATATGGGGCTTGGTTGGCCAGGGATGGCAAGGGGCTGGACAGGTCAAAATGTAGGGGTTCACAGTCAAAGTGCAACAGATTAGCCACAAAACTGCATCCAGAGGATGCTAGAAAGGCAAGGTTTGAGATACATGATGTCATATTTACATTCTGGATACTCTACTGGATGTATTTTGAAATGTTGTGGCGACACCTGCAACATCCTGCCAGCAACTTGGTTCACACACACTAGATAGGAGAGCCCCAAGTTTAATGCACAGCAACCCCATACCCAGGGCAGAGAGAGCCAAAGTCTAAAGGAATTATGGTGATGCTAAGGAAATTGGAGTAAAAATACACGCAACACGATTAAAAGATTGCATTCAATATTTCAGCATAACCCAGCCTGAAATCCGTTAGGCACAAGCATGCACCAGTTTCAACGCACCCAATCACGTAAGCATGCACGCGGTGGATGGGTTTATCACTGAAAAGGCCAGGGCACGGACACCTCCACCCCATTACTCCGCCAATTGGTGTACGTGATGCGTGGCGCCTTGAAAATAGCAGGGTCTGGCCTTGGTAAGCCCTAAGGTGCATAGTCCCTTACTTGAATTGGATTCAGTCGCTGCTTTGACGTCATGAACCTATAGACTATAATAAATGGGTATTTAAACTCTCGATCTTTTAAACGAAACGGCACATTTTTAAACCTTTTCCTTACAATTAAGACCACTCTCACGAACCGAAATGTCCAAAAACAGCCTATTCTGAACTGTGTTTACCTGAAAAACATCCTTAACCTAAATGCATGCCCAGGCGTATACTAAACTGGCATCGGGCTTTTGTTAGCACGGTTATCACTTGCTGTTGGGGGCAGCCGGGTCTGGGTAATGCGTGCGTTCGTGTCAGCTCAGATTTCGGATTCCAGCCTTTTTAACATCCCTGAAGCTGTTTATTTTCACCTTGGGATAGGGCTACATTTATGACGTTGGTAAGAACTTGTTGTCGAGGTCGATGTCGTTGGACATTTGATTTGCTTGATTTGCGCTACGAGTGTCGAATGCATCTTGGACTGCGCTATTAATTTGGCTCCAGTATTTGTTTTCCTGTGGGAATTTTTTTAAATTACTTGATTGTATTGCACTTATGTCATTTCTTATTGAATGTATGTGTGGAAGTGTTGCACCTGAAATTATTATCATTTAAAGAGGATGAAGTGGTAGCTCTTAAATGAAATTGGTGGCATCTCATACTGTGACTTGTACTGTAGCACCTACTTAAGATGTACCATTGATAGCAGAATTAGGGAGGTGGTAGCTATCTCAATCTGGGAAACATCTAACATGGCCCATATGACTCCATGGAAACAAATGGCATTTGTCATGTTTGCCCCTGCCATGGGCTCAAAGGTTTCACTGCCATTGAGACTTCCCAATGTTTGCCACACATCATGTCTGAGAGGCATAAATAGATAAGCCCTGGGCCAGACAGCAAAAATTGTATATTATGTCGAGCATGCCTGGTATAGGTGCGACGTCACACATTTCAGAAACGTAAGTGAGAAATCTTTGTGCTCAGAGCTAGGCACATAAATAATGTCAATGCGAGAGCATAGAGAGCCATTTGTTGAGGAAAATTTGTGTCATATAAATACTTTTGAAAATTGAGTGCAGTTTGGCACACATAATTGCAAGGCTTAGTGCACTGATTTCATATAGGTATCCTGTGCAGTGGATGGATGTCTTGAAGGCTGCATCTTGTATGGGGTGGTGGAGTGCTGAATTTCTTTGGAGGTGTCTTGCTTTTGTGGAAAATTCAAGGGGAAATGGGAACTTGGAGCATTTGCTCCCTTACCTAGTTTTTGCATGCATTGGATGGTGATGGTCAAACACTTAGCGTTTCAGCAGAGTATGAGTAAAAAGAGAAATTGTGTTATGATTGGAAGTCTTTTCCAGTTAGAAATATACAAATAGTTATAAGTGAGTTCATTTCTTTATATTTGCTCTTTTTTAAATATTTTCAAGTCATGGAACCCTTAAAGCACAATTGTTTCAGGAGTGATGGTGATTATATCCTCTGATGCATCTTTGAGAACAGCATCTCTTGATATGTAAGAATTGAGAATATGTGAATGTGCATCTAAAATATGTCTTACATTTTTTGTGATGTATGTTCATCTATTTCATTTATCAAAACTTGAGAATTCTTATCCTGAAGAAGTTGCAGCATGACAGCTAAGACTTGTGGGCTTCAAATGGCAGATATGGAAAGTTTTACATGTCTGTCCTTGTCAGTTCATATTTCTGATATTTAACTAACTAAATGAATGTTTGTGGCATGCCATTCCTGATCTGCTACTGTCCTTAACACTTTTGAGCTGTACAAAGTATCATCCTGCTCCTTGGCATCATGATGAACAATTTGTGAAGATTTTGCATATGAAGCTGCTGGCAAAACATTTTTAATTGGCTTAATTCAATTCTGAATTAATTTGGTAAGAATTAAAGCTATCAGTTCTAAGGCTAAACCATGTCAGGTCAGTTCCAATTAGACTAAAGCTCCAGCAAACAGGTGTTTGCCTGTATGTGCCTCCGTCTTTTTGATGAGAAAGTCATGTTGGATGATTCCATGCTCATAATCAAGGTCAGTATCAAAAATATGATCATGGAAGTCTAAATTTGTTATTTTTTTTGTAAAGATTTCCTAGGCATGATTTTGTCTTGGGCTTTGTGCATTGGTTTTTGTTCACATCAATGATATTTATCTTTGCTTATTTGCAGTCATCCTTTATGTCACCGTCATCTGTACCCACCATGAAATATTTGGCAACAATAGATTATAGTAGGGGATGATTAGAATTCAGTAATTCAGATCTTACAAGAAATGTCTTTCTGATTCAACTGAGTCACTATTGTTAGTTCTAATGTTAGAAATGATTTCGCACAAAGAGTGCCAAACTATTTTTATTGCATTCAATGCTCATCACTGCCCAGGATTGTTCGGAAACACATTCTCAGTGTAAGGGATGGAAGGTATTGCTCTCACATGCCAGAATGATGATGTAAAACAAACCAATGAGGGAGGAAATATGTTGTGAGATAAAGCAGTACAGCCTTGTCAGAGATCGGACAGCATATTCTTGCTGTCACTCACCAGTTCCAGGAGCTTCAAAATCACTTGTTTGTCAAATCCAGTTTTCATGACCACACAATTGTTGAATCTGTCTTTTCTGATGGCCTTTGGCTGGGCTGTTTTGTCAAAACTGTATTGGCTGTTTTTTTTGTTAAATTATTATGCCCTGTTAATCTGCGCTGTTCAGTGCATTTGTGAGGAACATTATTCACATAGAAAGCACAGTAGTTACAGCCTTATTCCACACAAAACGTAGGAGAATGGTGATATAGATGGGTCACCCATCTATATCCATGTTCTCCTTGGTTTTCTCCAAGGAATAGGGCTATTACCACTGTGTTATCTTCTGTGAACCTAATTTGATCAATGATATGGGTTGAATATACTTCCTCTTTATATGCCTGCAGTTTGTTTTTGTATTAAGCAGGTCATTTCTCATACCATCCTAATGTTAAAAATCATATGGATTCCTGTCTGGTGGTCAGTAGAGCACTGAGCATTTGACTGTAGTGTGGCAGATTGGTTAACATCCCAATAGACATACATATGTAAAATCATATCCATACTACATGTTTTGACTGGCACCAGCTGTCAATTGCCTCTGACCAGCAACTCCTGAAAGGCCTGTCATATGTACAGTAGCATAACCAGTAGGCTTTCTTGAATTGAAGGCATATCCCAGGGTACTGACATAATTCAAATGACTGTGGTATGCTGGGCTCCCAGAACTTCCATGTTGAAGCCAGAGTGTAAAAGGTTAAACTTAAGCACAAATGACTGTGAGTAGAAGGGGGTTGTTGGCAAAAATGGCAGTACCATATTAGTGATGAGAACATGTGCAATGTGCCACATATAGACCTAAAACATACTGTTTAACCAGTCAAATGTCATTAACTGGAGTGTCACTAAGTGGTGGACCACCACCAAGGCCAGCTTGTTGTCTGAGAATAAGACAAGGCTTTGGCACCAGAGTGCCTAACCTGCTAACCTTAGCACCTGTTGACCTTAGTGCATGAAGACCCATCAACCTCCAGTCCAGTATATTACTAACAGTTATGCACAACTTTTTCACCTTCCAATTTCATCTTTTGTAGTACCATAGATGGAGCAATGATTTGGACTATTGCCCTCATCTGGTGTGTTAGTATGCACACTGTGCACAAACTAACACATATTATATGTACATACACACCACATGATGACAAAAGTGTGAACAATTGCTTCATCTGTCATGCTAGTACTTTGTCTGAATCATTTTGTCAAAGTGCAATATATTTTAGTGTACAATGCAATACTATGATATGATTGCATGGTGTCATCCTTATCATTTTGACCTATAGCTAGAAGGCTTTCTGATAAGCCATCTAAGCCCTTTACTTGGGACTCTGACCCACACGCACTGCACATGCCAACTCCAATTTCATACAGTCAAGGCACCTTGCAGCGTGGCACTCAGTTGAATGAAGAATTCAGGGGTGATGGAAGATGTCTCTCCCCATGATGTTTCTGAGGCGGCAGGAGATGATGAAATGAAATAATTAATTTGATAAATTAAATTAATGAAAAATAAAATTAGGTATGTCAAGTGACCAGTCATTGCACATGTTTTGCAACAACCATTTAGCGTTTGCTACAATTATGTCACAGCACTGTGAAGCTGTGAAGACTTTGAGCTTGTTTTTGATAATGAATAACAATGTTTACTCATTGGTATGAATGGTGTTTGGGGCACAGCAGCGGGAAAGAATATTGGTCCATGAGATGAGCCTTGCTTGTGATATGTTGGTGACCTTAGGTCAGAGGTACAACAGGATAGCAGCCTAGATTGTTGTTTGATGGTATGTTCCCTTTGCAGACAATGATGTAATCTGTCAAACAGGACACCATGTGGACAGTTCATTTTATGGCAGATTCTCTGCATGGTGTTCACCCAATTGGTGATCTGGGAAAAGCATGGAGTTGACCTCTTTAACGAATATGCGCGGCGCGAATCTGACCATAACATGTGCAACCCAAGGCTTTGGTGGGACCTTTTCTGCTGGCCAGTCTGTCTCCCAGCTTGTCTGGTCTGTGAAGCCGCAGGCCGCGGTGGGACCTCTTCCATTGACGAGTCTGTCTCCCTACTTGTCGAGTCTGTGAAGTTCTTGGCTGCGGTGGGACCCCTTTTGTTGACCAGCTTGTCTCCTTGGCCGCTGGCAGGGTGCGATGATAAGAGGCAACAACGGCAAAGACAAGCAGGAGAAGCCGGGATGCGGGCGGCGCACTCCCACCTTCATGTCAGCGGAGGACCTGGCTTCGGGTCGGAAGAGCCACTGGCAGGAGCTCGAGATCACGGGTGAGTGCCGGTTGTGAGGCACCTATCATGCGAGAATGGCGTGTGCCCTGTGTGCGGGGTGCAGGGCGAGTAGGAGCTTGGAAGAGCCTGGCTGACGAGAGAAACTTAGCAGTGAAATTAGTCTCATTGATGGGTGTAAACAGTGATATAATGCATCACGTTTGAATATTTCCTCTTCTTTAGCTGTCACAGTAGCTTAAAATGCTCCCACATGTAGAACAAAACTACTACCATACACCCCTCATAGCACCCATGCGAGAGTTCAACAGTATTATGTTTAAAGATAAAATTAACAGTGGAAGAAATGTGCCAAACAAGGAGAATGTGTTGCACCATTCACTGCAAAAGTCTTCAACAAGTCAGTCTGGCATAAATATATTTTGGCTTGGTCTTTTGAGAGTGTTAATATGAGCCCCTCCAGGTCTAGGTCAAAAGTTATTCCAAAAAGCTTTTTTAATCCCATCAAATCTCAAGGAAGGAGAATATTGATACTACCAAGCTTTGTCTGAAGCCATAACACTAATGACTATAGAGTGGTTTTAGTGGAGGCAATTCCTGTTGGTACCAGCCTTCCACCGTCCGTGGAGTACGGACAGGAATTTGCAGAATTTTTGCAATGTCAGTGGGTACTCTGTTAAAAGAAAGATGGCGTGTATGATAAAGGGAAGCACATTATAATTTCTCATGTCTTAAAGTTCAGAGTTGTTGCTTGGTAGACAGCGACACTCGAGGTATTCAAATGGACTTGTGGAACAGGGAATCAACCAGCTTTCGGACCATGTTTATTATGATAAATGGAGCGGTACTTCGATCTTTCACCCCACCCGTTGTAGCACGTTTTGACAAGTTTTCGGACACTCATAAATTTCTGACTAGCTTGCTGTAGACTGCAGTGTACAGTCAGTCTTTTCTCACTAGCTTTCTACTGGTTTCTCACTAGCTTGCTTAGACTCAGTCGGTTTCGCAGCGCAGCATTTTTAGGAGTACGCTTCAGAAAAAGTATCTGCCCACATACGGCCAGTGGCGATAAGCACTCAGTCCCTTCAAAGGACAGAAAAACAACCATCAAAATGCAGGACGTGAAGAACTAATTCCTAGCTTTTTTCTTCGCTGGTTTTGGAGAAAGCTCGGACCAGCGATCGGCGGAGCTCTATGGATGCGACATCTCGTGGAGAAGTGGCCCTCGTCGTTTTCACGACAGCCTTCTCAGCATGGATCCCTTGCCGAACTGATGCGCTGCACAGCATCCCGCACTAGCATGCAGAAGCTTGTTTCGTGTTGAGACAGACTGATCAGAGAAGCGGCGGATCTTAAAATGTCTCCCCTGTCGCTTTCCGGCGGCACTTTTGGCATGTCCATGGTTCGAGTGTGTCGCCTTGGCCTTTGGTGCACTGGCCTGTGTCCGGCGCTGAGAGTGGCTCGGCCATGTTAGAAGCATGCGACACGTCACACCGACTGCGGGTCGGGTGATCATGCGACACGTCTCACCGACTGCAGGCCGGGTGATCATGCGACACGTCACACTGACTGCGGGCAGGGTGATCATGCGACACGTCACACTGACTGCGGGCCGAGTGATCATGCGACACGTCACACTGACTGCGGGCCGGGTGATCATGCCACACGTCACACCGACCGCGGTCCGTATGATCGTCGAAGGCTGGCTTTCAGGGTGGAGCGTCACAAGTGCGTCCGTCGGAAAAGCAAACATCGCAGCTCGACGTGGCGATCAATGTGTGGTGTCGTCAGTGTCACTACTCCTCCCCAGGACTGTGCCATGCACCACCTCCTCCCCAAGACTGTGCTGTGCACCGCCTCCTCCCCAAGACTGTGCTGTGCACCGCCTCCTCCCCAGGGCTGTGCCGTGCACCGCCTCCTCGCCAGGACTGTCCCGTGCACCACCTTCTCGGATCCACGCCGCCAACAAATGGCATCATCCTACGCTTTGTAGGCATGTCTGTCTGTCTCGAAGGCGGCCCGATGGCATTACATGCGTTGTAACGTGCGCAATCGTTGTGGCGGTGACGCTGATCGCCGTGCGCCATGGCGGTGATTGCAGGCATGGTGCGTAACATCAGCCCGACGGTGTGGCGTCTGAAGCACCTGACGGCGCTGTACATGAGCGAGAACTCGCTGGTGTGCCTGCCGTCCGAGATCTGCCACCTGACTCAGCTCTCCTACCTGGACATCTCCAACAACAAGCTGCGGCGGGTGCCGGCCGAGCTGGGCGATCTGGTCAACATGCGGTGAGTGGGCGCGGCGCCCTTTCGGCGGTGCGGCGTCACCAGCATGCCACCCTTGGTTGTGTCTTGTCGTGTCGGGCATTTAACAAAACCTGAACACGTGCCGTGTGCTGGCAATTCGTCGGCGTTGGTGCAAAAGCGCGGCGTCTCTCCGCTGTTTCGTGTGAGTAGCAGATTGCTGGCTAAAGCAGGATCTATCTGAAAACACATGCGTGTCCACACCAGCTCCCCCAGCTGTTCGCACAGGGTACCCGTTCATTGGCGGCAGTGGTGGCGGACAAGCGGTTCAGTTCTCACGTATTCTTCCGAAGTGTCTGACAGAGGTTTGAAGCAAGACAGCCGTAGCCTGCATAGTCCCAGCCCTCAGCCCACCGCCGCGCAGGATGATCGGCCTCTGCGTCTGTGAATGGTGGCTATATGTTGTATAGCGCGCGATGCGCCGTTCGCCGCGGTTGTCCGTGGATGGAACAGTCCGCAGTAGGATGCAGGACGGTTCCTCGTCTGAAGCCGCAGGGGCAGCTGGGAGCGCCGCGAGGTGACTGGGTTGGATGAAAGCGTTTATCTCGGCGACACCAAACCTCAATGTCTCGTGGCATATGTTCCCTGTTTGTGTGCCTGTGCAGCAGGATGGCAGTACTTCCTGTCAGCTCGTCGTCCTCTTGTGAATGTCCTTAATCGTTATGAGGGATTGTTGGGTACTCACCGTATTCGGATGGTGTTTCAGTCTTCTGTTCAGTCGGAATGAGTGACTGCGTAAGCGATGTTAGTCTGTGAGGTGGTCTGGTCAAGGTTGTCGATCTCCGCAGTACTCACCCGGTCCGGGTTCCTCTTTGTCCCGGTAAAGCTTCTTGACGTGTGCAGGAGTATCACATCTGGAGTCCAGTGATCTGAAGACGCGCATCAAGTTTAGGGATCAGTCGTCTCGTGCTGGAGATGTCCCACCCCAGGTCGCGCGACAGCTCGCATGAAGGGATTCGACGTTTGCAGTCAGTTACCAACCGTGAGGTCTTTCCAGTCTTAGTGGGTCTTCGGCAGACAGCGGTCTATCGTAGATTGTGCCGCCGCCGTCGAATTTAGGAGCGTGCAGGTTTCATAGATGTTGTTCAGGCGAGTCCGAAGAAGAAGCCGGCTGACCGGGTGCAGGGAAGACAGTGCTCTGTTTGGCATGATAACCATGTCGTTTGCCTGCTCTTTAAACTGGAGATCCGTGGACACGTCAAGCTCTAAATGTTTACAGTTTTTTACTGATCGAACCCGAGCTATCAAAATCGAACCATCAAAAAATATGTGATGGGTCAGTCTAACTACTCACGATGTTAATGATTGTTGGACGCTTTACTCGGATTGAATGTGATTGTCCCCCCATCTTCCAGCTGCACGTTATCACCCCGATCTTTCAGCGTGGATCTTGCTGTCCACATCACACGGAATCCCTTAATCGACACCGTGTCCACGGCGTGTCCACAACGTGTTCACGCCGCACCACACAACACGGCAGCGCTGCGTCATCAGCGGGATACGTTGTGCTGGTGTAGGTCACCTCAAGGCTTGTTCAAAGAATTGATTGCCAAAAGTTCCCGAGAGCCCTGAGAGCATTCCGATGTGGGGAATTGAAAGTTTTAGAAATTTAGAGTCGAAATTTGAAATATGAGTTCTGAAAGAACAATCCTAAGCACCCGGGACCAATCCTTAATGTATGACTGTAGTCATTGCAACAGTGATCCCTGTATGTCATATGATTAATGGTACAAGTGACCACAAGTTCTCCGTGCCATATTGTGCCAAAGTAAAGCTAGAAAATGATATTGCCGGGGCGTTTTTGGAGCGCGCCGGGGGTGTTGTACTCTACGTGGCGTCACCTGGATACTTTGTCGGGCGTGTCCAGTGTGACACGTTTTGTTAGGTCTTCGTAACTTCCGTGACAATAACTGCGCACGTGAAACATTATCATTTAAGTCTGCGCCTGCTACGCGTGCTCCTAACGGTGTAAACTAAACGTTATGTTGTTTGTAATGTGTAGCACACGTTTTGCTGTGTAGCACACCTTTTACTCATCCATGCCCGATCGGGGGGGGGGGGGGGGGGCGAATTAGGTTTTCATTGAATCTGTCGAGTCGTTTCTGCCCCTATGCGATAAAGTAACGGAAAAGGATTATGTGCAGCCGGCAAAGATTCCACGTGACGTCACTTATAATCTGTGTCGTCTGGGTCGCCGCGAATACCAAAATGTGCGGAGTATGGGGTATGACGCCATGAATGACGTCGACGGCATATATTATGTGTCGTTCGGGTCGATGCGAAGACACTCCTAATGTCCAAATAAACAACAGTTAAGTCAAGGTCATTGTCCGGATGCGCATTCAGTTGTGTGTGAAGAATGCGAGCTGTATAATGTACTTGAGTGCTGTGCTTTGGGCGGAACCCATCCTGCTTCTCAGCCAAAAGGTTGTTTTCACTAAGATAGCGAAATTTGTTTCTAGACTCATCTTTTCAAATCATTTCTGTGTGCAGGAAGGGAGAACCAGAGGATGGTAGTTTGATTGTGTAGAAGCGGATACCTTTTGTTTTAAGGTGCTGTTTACGTTTTTTTAACAAGCTGGATTTTTCCCTGCAGCGATTGATTTAATGAGCATGTTGTGTGACAATACGATCAGAATGATAATTATTTTTCAAAATTTTGTTCGGGTTGCCACAAGGACCGCGTGACTATTTTATGTTAGTGGAGTTCAATATTTGTAGAACGTCAGCCAGCCTCCGTTACGTTGATCCCCTCTAGACTACATGCAGTGTTCTGCTCTCCTCTGAATTTAGGTTGGTCATTTGGATTCTAAATAGGTGATCACTTCACAAAGAAACCATCAATGATATTTGTGTCATAATTGTCTGAAAACCAGATTTACATCCAGATCAGTGGAAGGAGTTCCCAACCGCTTCCCCCCCCCCCCCCCCCCCCGGCAAAGGTTTCTAGGACTGATGTTAATGTAGTTTGCGTGCAAGCAGCAGCCTTTTGGTTTATATGTGAATATGAACTCCCTCAAGGTGCCTGGTGAATGGTATTACACAGCTACGTTTACGACATATATACGACATATTTTACGACGCCGATAGACCGCATGGAGCACACTGCGGCAAGACTCGGAAGTGGATGGTTGGGGACGCACCCTCAATACTCCCCCCCCCCCCCTCCATGCCCAAAAATGATCCCGGTGCGGCAGCGGCCAGCTCTGGCGTTGCAAAACTTGCCATCGGGGAACTTCCAGAATTTCTATTAAGAAAACTTGAAGCTAAACATACCTAGGTTAGTTTGAACTGAAACAAGCGCAGATAAGCTGCATAGTGCCGGCATCAAGCTGAATTTCATAGTAAAGTGATGTGTTTCTGAAATAACCTAGGCCCGAAAATCAAGCGGTGTCGTCGCGCACATTGTGTAATGCGCAGTGCTGGCCTTACACTATTAATGACATGGTTTTCAGAATGTCGGACGGTCTCACGCGCAAATGCGTTCCGCTGCACTCGTTTGCACTCGGCGCGGTGCTGGCGCCATCTGCCCACGTGAAGTTTGGCGCGCGGCACGGCCGGCCGGGGCAGCTCACTATGGGAAATCCGGCGCCGGATCTGACGGACGGTGTGTCGTCGGCGCGTGCGGACGTGTCCCACTGGTCCGGCATGGGAAGCGCGAAATTCGCAAATTGACGAAATTCGCCGAGCGTGTGTCGATACTGGTGCGTGTCTCGGCAGTGGGGCCCACAGCGAACCGCGGTCAGCACGTTACGGCGCCGAAAAGGACGGGCAATCGTATAGGCAAAGGTGTGAATTAATGCCTACTGAGGCGCACGAGCTCTCGCACTCGTGAAACTGACTGCACCGCGCAGGTGCAGGCACCGCCTACAAATCACCTGCCGCCAGCGTGGTGGTGGACACGGTCAGGGCGAGAGGCAGGTGACGCCCTACAGCGTCAGCAGCGGAGTGTGTCGTACAGCCCCATGACGATGAACCATTCAGCCGGGCCAACACCTCAAGACTCATCGCGGCACCCGCAATCAACCCGGAAGCGACCCATGTCGCGCTTTCGGAAAAATATCTTGAACACAACTCGCTGACGCCTTCACAGAGCAAGCCGGGGCCATGAAGTGGACTTAGATGGAAAGCCCAGATGGCGACCAACACCCATCCAAAACATTGGCGTAGTTTACAGCAATTTGGTCGCGGTCGTCCAAAACGTCCGTCGCCGCGAAAGTTCACGTTTCTTCGCTGTAAATCGCCGCCTTGATTTTCCACTACATCCAGGGCTGTTATCGTCAGCTGCTGTCGCCGACTTAGTTTGGCACAGCTTAGGCCAGAGAACTTGCGCATTGTGCGCCACGTCCGGTACGTTGTGGAAGCTCAGGTCACGCTTTGGACACGCCGTATCCACGCGTCCCTTTGAGCATCATCCATAAGTAACCCACGTCTCGACCGATGGGCTGAAAGGAGTCAGAAACCCGCAGGGCGGCAAACAAGAACACCGCGCGGTATAAGCGCATGGAGTGGGGCGTCGTGCGGCGTGGCATAAGAGCATTTAGAGGTGTGCATTCAACACGTCAGGGTAACTTTAGCCCGTCCATTGCCTAGACTTAGTTGGTGATGATGGCTGACGCAGTGCTTGTGAAGCAATGTTATCTAAAACGGTACTTGTCAGCAACGTGCTGTCCGTAGCCATGCAATGAAAGCGCTGGTCTTGCAGAGCACGTTTAGACAGCTCTGCTGTCGTGGTAAGGATTAAAATTGGCTCATATTGAAATGTTCGTTTGGATGTGGACAAGCTTTGGATGGGCTTCATCAAGTCGAGTGCAATATCCAAGAGTTGGCAAGGCAGAGGAGGCACGGCCCTGGCGCGTGATTGTCGTGTTCCTGCCGTTTCAGGGAGCTGGACAATCGGTCGGGATTGTCATGTTCCTGCCGTTTCAGGGAGCTGGACAATGGGGCGGGATCGTCATGCTTTTGCCGTGTCGTTCCAGGGAGCTGCACCTGAACCACAATCTCCTGCGGATTCTCCCTTACGAGCTCGGCAAGCTGTTTCAGCTGCAGGTTCTCGGGCTAAAGGTAAGCCAAGGCGTGTGGGTCGATCCGTTCTTCCAGGGGGCCTCTTCACGGGGGCACATCCTGGGCAATCGTATTCAAGAGGACCATGGGTGTGTGCCTCTTAATCAAATTGTTACATGCATCGTATCCTAGTTATACCCGGAATGCGGGCCGTCTGATTATCCAGCAGAGGGTCTTGCTTTTCTAAAGCAGGGCCTCTTGCTCCAGAAAAGAGCCTGATGCGTGAGTGGCTTCCTAAGCCAAAATAGAATGCTTCCAGCTCACAGAGGAGGGCTTCCAAATGTAGCCAGGAGTCCTCGTTATCGTCGCCGTCATTGGGGTTTTGCGACACATTCACCTGCTGAGATTATATGACGTAGCTTGCCTCCCACCCTTGCAGGAAGAGCAGGCACCGCAGGGAATCGAACCCCGTACCTCTGGTTTCCTAGATGCGCAGTGGTTAACGTAGGCGTGTTAACCACTACACCATCGGCACCCGGGGCGTCCCTATGCCAAAACAGAGTATCCATATCCGGAACCGTGGTCATCGGAGGCATGGAAGGGCCACCTACTGTTATCACTGGTCTGTTGGATAAGGAGTAAGCCATGGGCGCCATATGGCCAGGGCGATCGGCGTGCTCGAAGGCCCACATCATCGTCATCATCCGTCAAGGCCCACATCATCATCATCATCGGTCAAGGCCCACATCATCATCATCATCCGTCAAGGCCCACATCATCATCATCCGTCAGGGCCCACATTATCATCATCCGTCAGGGCCCACATCATCATCATCCGTCAGGGCCCACATCATCGTCATCATCCGTCAAGGCCCACATTATCATCATCATCCGTCAAGCTAGGGTCGTATTCGTATTCGTATTCGTATTCGCATTCGTATTCGCAGTTAAAATAAATAAAGACAGCGTCTCACCCAGCACGGTGCGACCCCGGCGAAAGGTCAGTAGATCTGCTCACATGACCTGGCGGACAGCTCAGCACTCCCGGAGGGGGGGGGGGGGGGGCGCCTGCCGTGTGTACCACTGCCAGACGGGGCGTGGCCCCCAGTTTTGGTTCCTGGCTCCGACCGGCTCCTTCGATAAAAGATAACGCTGACTTCTGGTTGCCACGGGTTCTTTCGACAGAACAAAACCCTGGGTCCTGGCTCCCTCTGGTTGTTTAGTAGACCGTGGGCCTGAGGTCTGGTTACTTTTTTCATCTATTCTTTTGAAAACACTGTACCTAGGATGCTGTTTGTCACCGATTTTTCAGACGTACAAGACCACGACTCACGGTTCTCAGCCACAAAATCATAAAAGTCACCCAGGACAACTCACACATTTTCCTTTCGCTTTTATTAAAATTCATGCACCACAGTCAAGTCATACAGCATGCTGTGATACCACCAGTACAAGTTTAAAAGCGTAACTGCATGTCGAATATCGTTGTCTTCGACTCAGAAGTGAGCGCTTGGCAGCTGAAACTTTCACCTGGATGAACCGCATATTTGCTCTAAGGAGTTAAAAGTCACACACCACAGACATGCCAAACAGCATGTCCTGATACCATCAGCACCACCAGTGTACTGTTAGCCGAAGATCGTTGCCTAATATTTACAATTGGGTGCCTGGCAGGTGTTTCCACGCGCTCATCACTGCTGAGTGGAACGCCACGCGTCTGTCACGAATGGTGCACTTATCAACCACATTATGGTCTTGCAATACCCACTAGACTCGAGGGTTATGTAAGCACCGTTAAAATTCCAACTATCCAACTATATCTCCATTAAATGCTGGTGGCGCTGTCAGTTGCAACAGTTTTTTGTTGTTGTAAAAACTTGTATTTCCTCTGACTGAGGCATGCCAAATGGGGAGCCAGAAGGGACTGAGACTCCTAACTCTTTAAAAATTATATTGGCTTTCTCAAAACAGGGCCAATGTTAACTATCCGTTGACTGAAAAGAGGTAACAATGATAGATCCCGGGACCCCAAACTGGGAGCACTTCCATCGTCCCTGTTCTGGTACCAACAAAAAGTGTATAAAAAGGTATAAAAGTGTGTATACCCCTGTATAATCGGCCTATTCTGTGTCCATGTCCATTGTTGCTTGTAAACACGCAACTTTCTACAAAATGATGCCCTTCTTTTTGATATTAAATCAAGATGTGTCCATGTCCGCGCTTTAGAGGCAGCCACCCGGCTACGTGAGAACCCAGGGCCGTATAACAGATAGGTCGATGAGAGATAGGTCTGAAATCAGATTCTGGCACAGCCAGAGTGGTGTCGGTAGTGTGGACTGGTCAGCTGAAAATCGTAGCCTGGATAGAGTAATATGACCTACGTCAACGTTTCCATCCTGCGCCATCTGTTGTCTACGAACCTGAATCTACGAACTGTCATCTGAATCTACGAACCTACGTATAATTATCTATAGACGAGTTGTTTTTAGTTGACAAGTTGGTGGCGGTGACAGTGAGCTTGATCGGCGGTACAGCGGGGTGTGACAGAGCGCCCGCTGGTGGCGGTGACAGTGGGCTTGACCGGCGGTGCAGCGGGGTGTGACAGAGCGCCCGCTGGTGGCGGTGACAGCGAGCTTGACCGGCGGTGCAGCGGGGTGTGACGGAGCGCCCGCGTCGCCGGCAGGGCAACCCGCTGGGGTCGGAGATAATGACGGTGTACCAGGAGCAGAACGGCACCCAGCGGCTGCTCACCATGATGCTCAACAACCTCGAAGGTCAGTTAGCAGGTCAAGGTCGGCCGGCCGCAGTCTGCCAGGCAGGCCACAGACCACCTGCAGGCTCACAGGCCATCACGCAGGCCCACAGACCACCAGGTAGGCCACAGACCACAGACCACCAGGCAGGTCCACGGACCACAAGGCAGGTTCACAGACCACAGACCACCAGGAAGATCCGCAGGCCACCAGGCAGGTCCATTGACTACTAGACAGGCCCACAAACCACCGGGCCACCAGACTTCCATCGTGGAGTTCGTCCCTGCTACAATGCCATGTGCGTCACCGAATCGTAAACGCGAAGCGCGATTTGAGGCATGTGGCTGGCCGTCCACTGAGTTTTCACGGGACCGCCGTGTAGAAAGGTCGGGGTCGGCTGGCCTCCGAAGCCGTGTGTGGCTCGCGTGCTGGCTCTGGCTGGGCGCGGGGGCTCGGTGACTGGCCGAGAGGTGAGCTCGAGGCTGCGGTGGATGCTCTTCGCGTCAGCTGTGCTCTTCCCCCGTGGATGTTCGAGATGGACATGTGCATGGACATGTGGCGCCATGGCAACTGGAAACGTTCGAGTAACACCGCGCTCTCTAGTTGTGGGAGTTTTTTCCGTGTCACCGGCTGCAACATTCGTTTGCAACGCCAAATGGTCCTGGCGGGCGGCGAGCGGAATGCAGTCATTGTTTTCATTACATCGATCTTCCGTGTCATTGATCGATCAGGTTGTGTGCATTGATGTGAGCGAGCTCAGGCTCGTCAGCTGGACGACGGTACGGACTGACGGCAACTGGGGCTGGCACGCAAATCTTACGCGCGCTCCGGCTCGTTGTGGCTGTGTCGATGATCGAACGGTGTTGTGACATTCAAGCGCCTTCGGCGGCAGTGGGTCGCCGTTGGATTGCCTTTGTGAGCCTCTGACGTTCAATGGCTCGAAATGAATTTGGTTGCGCGAGAAAGTTGGGCGAAAAATTAGCTGTCAGGGGCATCAGCTGTAAAGTGGTGTAGGCTCGCGGGCAAACTGAACAAACTAAGGTAAACGGGGCGAGTTACGGGCAACCCATCCCGACGATTCTCTTTGGTGAAACACACGCGTTCATCAGGCGAAATCAACGCTTCATTTGTGTTCGTCATATAGATAATCGTTAAGCCATGTCATTTCCGGCCGTTTATGCATTTTGGTAAAGTTTAATGCAATGCACATTGTCTCTCTCTGTCGACTGCACACCGTGGGTATAGCCGTTTCCAATCTAGTGGTATTAGATATATCTATGGCTCTTGTGGGAGAAGTTTCATTTGGACTCTGCTTACCGCTTTGAAAGTAATGCATTTAATTTATCTTGCTTTTCCAACGCGTGTGTTCTGTAATCTTTGTAACACACATATCCATCACAATGCTTGCATATTAAATGATACGAAAGTTAAAAACTTTTTTAGGGAATGAGGTATACAGAGTTAAAAAGCATGTGGAGCTGGTGAAAACCTAAGCGTAAGAGCTTTTGAGTTTCAAGAAGACGTTTGTACGTTGAGCCTCGGGGGAAGATAAAGGCTGTGCATCTTTTTTAATATTCTTAGATCTGCCTGGTTTGTTTTGCTATTCCAACATTTGCGCGCGCAAACATTTCGGTTACAACGTTCAGGCGAATTTTTTGTCTTGCGAACTTTATTTTATACGAACTTTTGACTTAAAACTTAATGCTCGACGTACTTCATTCTGACGAACTTAAGTCACAGGAGCTTTATCCTACGAACAATTGTCAAACTTTGTTATCCGCCACCATTCCCCTCATCGCCCCTGCGAGAAGGCGACTGACGGTGTCAAGCTCCTGCCAGACCGGTAACTTCTATTTCTGGAATCCGCTGCTAGAGGGCAGTGTACGTACACTCATTTCGCAGCCCAGGCATTCGCCTCAGCGGTGAAGGTTCTGGGATTTTAAAAGTGACCCACAGCCATACAGTGTTGGATGATAAATTTGATTTTACATTGCCATGCCTATCGCAAAACATGCAACTAATTTGATGGCAAGAAAAGGCGTAGTACAAAAGACGGGTTTCGCAACATTGCCATTCCCGTGCCAGATAGCTGTCACGCCGGTACCAAGGTTCAGCACTTCCGCCCTTGTCGCCACGCTCAAAGCTTCATCTCGAATTCCTACATCAGGGATTGGGGGCGGCTTCGCAGCGTTGGAGACCTGCCGGGAGGCTTCCCAGCCATTGGAGACCTGCCGGGGGGCTTCCCAGCCGTTGGAGGGCTGCCGGGAGGCTTCCCAGCCGTTAGAGGCCTGCAGGGGGCTGCTACCCAGCCGTTGGAGGCCTGCGAGGGCTGCTTCCCAGCAGTACCCCGCCAGCTCGTGTCGCACTGGCCAGGTGGTGGTGCTGTCACAGCCCGTTGTCGGTGGGCGTGCACTGGCAGAGCGGTGGACAAGCGCCGGCATCGGCGGCCGACCGGCCGTCGCCGCCGCCGCGTCCCGTTGTCGCTGCGGCCGGGGACAGCCCGGCATGGCGGCCGGACGGGAGCCAACCCGCCGCACCGAGCGGGCGCGCTGTCGACGCCAGCCGGCTGGCGGGGCCGGCTGCCCTCTGCGCGCTCGACCTACCCTCTGACCGCCCGACCTGTCCTCTGACCGCCCGACCTGTCCTCTGACCGCCCGACCTGTCCTCTGTGCGCTCGACCTACCCTCTGACCGCCCGACCTGTCCTCTGACCGACCAGCCTATCCTCTGTGCGCTCGACTTACGCTCGGACCGCCCGACCTGTCCTCTGACCGCCCGGCCTGTCCTCTGACCGCCCGACCTGTCCTCTGACCGCCCGACCTGTCCTCTGACCGTCCGGCCTGTCTTCTGCGTGCTCGACTTACCCTCTGACCGCCCGACCTGTCCTCTGCGCGCTCGACCTACCCTCTGACCGCCCGACCTGTCCTATGCGCGCTCGACCTACTCTCTGACCGCCCGACCTGTCCTCTGACCGTCCGACCAGTCCTCTGCGCGCTCGACCTACCCTCTGACCACCCGACCTGTCCTCTGACCGCCCGACCTGTCCTCTGCGTGCTCGACGTACCCTCTGACCGCCGGACCTGCCCTCTGACCGCCCGCCCTGTCTTCGCCGACTGATCCGGCGCCGGCGCACGCGCTGGCCTAACCCCGGCCGTCACGACATCGCCGCCGCCGCCGCCGCCCGGTCCGTTACCGGCCGGTAAGGGCGAGAACGGCGCGAAGCGGGCCGGCAGATGGCCGCTGCGGCCGGCGCGGCCGGACCCGGCTGACCGAGTGGCCCGAAAACGGCGCTCCGCGGGCGAGGGCGGCGCACGCGCCGGGCCGCGCCGACCCATGGGTGGTGCCGGCGGGTAACAGCAGTGGACTGGCGCGCAGAGCGACGACGGTTAGGGGAAGGGGGAGGGGGACGGCGAGAGGGAAGGAAGAGAGGGCTGGGGCGCGCCGCGCGGCTGGGGATAAGGAACAGCGTGGGCCAGATTGGGGCCGGCAGCGGTGGGGAGGCCGGAAGCGGGGCAGACCTGGGGCGGACGAACGAACACGCCTGGCAAACAGGGCTGGGGCGGGCCAGGTGAGAACGGCGGCGTATGAGAGGAGAGGTTCGTGTCGGGTACACGTTCCACGTGCACGCGTTGGAAAGATCGACGGGGACGGCCTGAAGCCACGCACACGCCCGCCAACCGTCCTTGCTGTCGCTGGAATGCAACGGCCACATACACCGTCCTGCCGCAGGCTTTCAAAAATGATGCCAAGGGTGCCACGGTGTTTGGTTCGGGATTTTTCGATGGCATTTGATTCAACGATGGTGGCGTTTCTTTGATCGTCCCTGTAGTCCCGATACTGCTGGACAGCGCTGGCCTTTGGGCACTCGCCACTCCCAGCTATACAGAGATGGGACGGAGCAGGGGGGGGAGAGGGGGGGGGGGCGGCCGCCGCACGCCAAAGTGGGGGTGGCACGGAGCCGCCAGCCGGTCTTCTCTCCGTCGGCGGCCGCGCGCCAGCTCGGGGCCGGCCGGCCCAGACTGTGGGAGTGCGGCGTGGCTGGTCCACGGCTGTGCCTTCACGTCCGGCCGATGGTTGTGCCTTTACGTCCGGCCGACGACTGTGCCTTCATGTCCGGCCGACGGTTGTACCTTCACGTCCGGCCGATGGTTGTACCTTCACGCCCGGCCGACGGTTGTACCTTCACGTCCGGCCGATGGTTGTACCTTCACGTCCGGCCGACGGTTGTACCTTCACGTCCGGCCGACGGTTGTGCCTTCACGTCCGGCCGACGGTTGCAGCTTTACGTCCGGCCGACGGCGCTGGGGCCGCCGCGCTCCCCTGCCGTTCTCTGTGTGGTGTTGACTGACTTTCGGGCCTCCCGATCGAATGTCGGTCAGGCTTTGTTGACCGCCGGCGGCTCGGGCCAACTGTAGGTCGCGACCATCAGAGGCACATCCGTGCGACATGCGCAGGACGTGTCCGCGCAGCAGGCGCCGAGTCAGTCCACTCGACGGGTTGGTCCGGTTTAGTTTGAGAGTTCCCGTGCAACGCCGTTCATGTCCGACGAGGAGCGTGTTGTTGAATGGTGTGAACAGTGAACTGTACCTGCTTGAACTTACGTGGCGCCAGGCTTGTAGCCGGCCTTAAGAAAATAATTGTCTGTATCGGGGGAAGAAATGTGCGTTCTTGTTCGTGCCGCACAAGTGGGCTGACTTAGATCTGGACGGAATCAAAGCTACGCTCAGTTGTCGCGTCAGGTCGGCATGACGGGCAATGGTAGTGGTAAGCGTCGATTGAGACTTGGACCTCGGACGGTGGTCGAGAGCGAGCGGTCCGTTCTTGCTGACGAGATGCGCCGGGGAGCATCGCGGCCGGCCAATTAGCGCCTTCGGCTCCCAAGTCGGGCTCCGTGTTCAAATCCCGGCTGCGCCGCGGCCCTGGGGTCGCTGGCATGACTATCACGGTCGCAGGCGGTCGTGGGAAGGCGTGAGGTGGCGTGCGTTGCGCTCCCCGTCAGGATGGCATGGCCCAGTTGCACTGTCAGGTGGCGGTGCTATCGTCCCTGCTGCGGACACCGCTGTCCGCCGGCGTCCGTGCGGCCGGCCGCCGAGCCGGTGCCGGGGCCCGCTGCTGCGGCGGCCGGCGTCCTGACCCAGTGGCTGATGGCCGTCGACCGCGCTAAGCCGGGCTGCGTGCGCCGCGGCCGCCGGCGCCGCCTCCTCGGCCTCCGTGCAATCGCGGGCCTGTTTCTCCGGCCGGCTCGTCAGTCGCATACGATGGGCGAGCCATGATCGCTGCTGTCAGGCCTCCCTGTCGAAGTCTCCAGGTAGTGCGGAGCTGGGCGGCCCCGGCGTCCGCCTCCGCCGCTGCGGCCGGTTTCTCCCGGGGCGCGCGGCGGCCCCGTTTCGGCTGGGTTTGAGAGCCCCGGCCGCAGCGGGCGGCGCGGGCGACGGGCGAAGGGACCAGGACCAGCCGGACCGGACTGCTTTCCCAGTGGACCATCACGCAGGACGGACCAGGACTGAGGACGGCGGCCGCCGGCCGCCGGCATTAGCCCACATTGTAGCGAGGCTGGTCTCCCCAAATGAGAGGCAGGCGCCCGGGTGTTCGTTTCGAGTTGGCGACAGCCAGCCGACAATCCGTCTTCAACGCTGATATGATGGCGTGCGGGCTGCAAGAGCTATGTCGGAGCCATTGGTGACGGCCATTGGTGACATCGGTGACATCCGTGCAGGCGTAACTGGGGACGTGCCGCTAGTGTGCTGGAGGCGGGATTTGTACTGGCTGCGTGCGGGCGCGGTGTGCCCGGCATTGGCACGCATTTCCGTCGCGCATGGGTGCCGTGCTTGGCTCCTAGAAGGATGCCACAGCAGGGTCGGTTCCGGTTTGCTCCCGCTGGTTGACGTCCATGTCGACTAACGCAGGTGATCGAAGCTCGGTGTCGGTATTTTTCGCCGTTGGAATTGCTTACTGGGTCAGCGGAAGCACCGACTTGGGGATGACTCTTAGTAGGCCGACCCGGGCAGCGTTTTCTGCGTGTCGCTGCAGCGCGTTCTCAGTGCTGGTCAGCCGCACACCGGCGCACGCGGACGGTACGGATGTCAACAAATATCGCCTGCGTTAGCTTCGAGCGCAGCGTTGCCTGTGTGGGACGCCAGCTGCCGTCGGCCGGCCCGGCGGGCGTGTGTGGCCGGGTGTGACGCCGCCGCGGCGAGCGTGGCCTACTGGGCACCGGCGCTGACGCGGCGCCGCGTTTGAGGACCGCTGGCGCCGGCGGCTGTGGAGCAGCGGCGCGCCGCGCCGCGCCGCGCCACGCCGCCAGTGGTGCGCCCGCAGCCGGCCGGCGCTGATCGCCGACGCGCGCCCGTCCGCCCCCTCACCGCTCTCTATGGGCGCGCCCGGCTGAGGGGCGTCCGATGAACCACGGCTACGGGGGCCGGCCGGCCGGCCGCCCCGCCGCCGCCTACGGCGGCTACGGCCACCATGGCCAGCCGCGGCGGCCGTTCCCAGAGCCGGTGGGCCGCAGCGGCGCCTACGGCGCGGCGCGCGGGCCGCGGCGACCCCGGCCGCCGGCCGACCTGAGCTGGGGCCACCACGAGCCCGTCCACGGCGTCGTGCCCGCGCGCTTCGAGCCGGCGCCGGCGCCGCGCTGCCGCCGCCACAGCTGCGCCGGCGCGCGGCCGGCCGGCTCCTGGGGCTCGCACAGCAGCTCGTCGTCGGGCTACGGCGCCGCCACCGACGAGGTGACCAGCAGCGAGAGCGAGCTGCCGGCTGACGGCAGCAGCGGCGGCGAGCCGGCCGAGCTCAGCCAGGTCATACCGCGCATCATCAAGCCCCGCAAGCGGCGCAAGAAGGAGAAGAAGCCCAAGATCCCGCGCATGGCGGCGGCCGAGGAGCGCGGCGCGACCGAACGGCGGCCGTCCAGCCTGGGCGGCGACACGCAGTCATCCAGCGAGAGCACGCTCTCGGCCTACGGCAGCGAGTGGTACCTGTCGCGCGAGCACCTGGACCTGCTCTGCTCGGAGCTGACGACGCTGAGGCTGCGCCGGCAGCTGACGCCGCCCGGCGACCTGGCCATGACACCGCCGTCCAGCCCGGCCGGCTGCCTGCGCCGCTCCCGCAGCGACCCCAGCCAGCGTGGCCAGCTGGACCAGCGCCAGTGCACCAGCTGCCCGTCCTCGCTCGAGTTCCGCGAGTGTCCAGGTGAGGCGGAGTCCTGTCTGCGGAGACCGGTCGGCGCTGGCTGTCGCGATCCCCTGGATCCCCGTCGGCGGAGACCTGTCGGCGCCGGCTGATCCCCGTCCGCAGAGACCGGTCGGCGCTGGCTGTCGCGGTCTCCTGGATCCCCGTCAGTGGAGACTGGTCGGTGCTGGCTGTGGCGGTCTCCTGGATCGCTGATTGCCAAGGACCGTTGTCGAACTGGCCGATGGTGCTCGCCGGGGGAGCCGGGTGGTCTGTTTCCCATTGCTCCAGCTTGGCCAGCCTTCTCTGGGCCCTGTCCGGCTCCCCGCAGTTCCGGCGTGACACACACTGCGGGGCGATCGCGGTGGGAGGATGGGAAATGTCAGCAAAGAGGGAAGAGCAGAGTCTTGGTCGCTTCCCGCGTGCTGGGACAGCGATTTGAGTATGAAAACTATGTACACCCCACCAGCCGACGTGGCCGGCTGATGGTTTGTTGCCATTCGATGCCAGAGTACGGTCGTATTTGCGCGTTCCGGACCAACGTGCAAATTTCTCCAGGTCCTCTGGCACCGAGTCAACCACCGCCTGCCTCAGGGAATTACGGAATTGTCCAGATCTGGAGGGGTCATCCGGCCTGATCAAGTCTCTCGTTCTCTCGCTCTCTCGCTCCGTCTTTCGTTTTGGCTGCCTCCAGTGCGGCGCCCCCTGCTGGCTTACGCTCCGGCTGTTACTGACCTTGAGCGACTGAATAACCTTACCGCGACCAGGAAATGCGCTACGCCACTGTTTGTTTGCCCGAAGTCGTGTGTGGGTTCTCAGCAGCCTGCGCGGCCCTTCCATCCGGCGTGGGTGCGGGTGAATGTGCGACCACGTCAGGCGGCTCTGCGCCACGTGTGTAGCGCTTCACACGGTGAACGCCAGGCCCGGAGATTGGGCCATGTCGTCGTTCGCGGTCTGCTCGTCGAATGAGGTTTTCGAATCAGGCTCATCACGCTGGGCGCGAGGCGTCGCGCCGAGCGAAGATCCGGCTGTGTTTATCGCGGTCATACGCAGTTGATGCGTCGGTGGGACCATCAACGAACGCGAAGGCATCCCGTGCCCATCCATGTACATATCCGTACGCATGCGCGTACCCATACCCATACCCATACCCATACCCATACCCATACTCATACGCATGCCCATACGCACTCTTAAGGGTAGTTTCCTTTTTAGCTGGGGGGCCCCAGCTCTCGACTCAGAAGAAAGCGAGCCAAATTCCGTGGAGAAACCGTTTGTTGGCGCATTTTGGCGCATGTTGCGCCATTTTTTGCTTCTCGGCCCTTAAGAGAGCTCTTGCGAAACTACGCGCCTGTCCGCACCCATACGCATGTGCCCCCCCCCCCCCCCCTCACGCTCACTTTGGTCTCTCAGGCCCGCAGTTTTCATAGATGGCCCCTGAAAGAAAGTCAAGAATAAGAAAGTTCAGAAGAGCCCAGCACGGTAACGGCCGGAGGGAGCCGCCGAGCCCAGCATAGTAACGGCTAGAGAGGGCCGCCGAGCCCAGCACGGTAACGGCTGGAGAGAGCCGCCGAGCCCCAGCACGGTAACGGCCAGAGGGAGCCGCCGAGCCCAACACGGTAACGGCTAGAGAGAGCCGCCGAGCCCAGCACGGTAACGGCCAGAGGGAGCCGCCGAGCCCAGCACAGTAACGGCCGGAGGGAGCCGCCGAGCCCAGCACAGTAACGGCCGGAGAGAGCCGCCGAGCCCAGCACAGTAACAGCCGGAGAGAGCCGCCGAGCCCAGCACAGTAACGGCCGGCTTTCGCTGTGCCGGTGACTCAGCTGGCATGCCCCGCCCAGTTTTGGGCGGCTGTTACCACTTGACCCGTGACCTGTGTTGTATAACCTGTAAGGTGACGTGTGATCAAGTGGGTGTCGGCTCGAAAGTCCTTGTGATCGGCATCATCTTGACCAACCATTCACATGCAATCACAGACACTCGGGAGTGTGTAAGGCATGGTGTGGAATGGCATAGGTGGGCTCGGCTCGGCTCGGCTTGGGTCGGCTCGGGTCGACTCGGGTGGGCTCGGGTTGGCTCGGGTCGGGTCGGCTCGGCCCAGCTCAGGTCGACGGGTCGAGTCGGCTCGGCTCGGCTCGGCTCGGCTCGGCTCGGCTCGGCTCGGCTCGGCTCGGCTCGGCTCGGCTCGGGCCTGTCCGGTGTGTGCGCACGCCATTCAGGTGCCGTGATGGCAGCTGGAGCCCGCCGAGTCAGCCGTGTGGCCGCTGCCGCCGCCTTGTTTTCGAGGCCCGCTGCCGGCCGGGTCGGGTCCGTTAGGACCCTGTTTGTTTGTATTCTCGGGGGCTGGGGAGGGGGGGGGGGGAAACAGGTCGAGAGCGTGGGGCAGGTCTGCGAGACGAGGACTCCGACGGAGAGCGGTGGGGGCTCGACTGATGGACTAAAGAGTCGACCGGTCGGCAAATATTGTCTGTGCGGTCTTGCCGGCGACAGTGAGCAGCATGTCGCTGTCGCCTTTGTCTGGTGGCGTCAGTGGCAGACCAGACGAGCACGTTGGCCAGATCTGTGCCGTGCGTTGACCGGCTGCTGAGATGCTTTCTGAGACCGCGAGACCGAGACGGCGAGAGGTTCAGTTCCGGTCGCAGGAGGGACGGGTCGGCCGCCGGCCGCTCTCCTCCTGTGACGGCCGGCGGGGTCGCCGGCGTGACCGGACCGGCGTCTGACCGACAGGGGCGAGCCGGGCCGCGGCTGCGGTCAGAGCCGGCTGCGGCGGGGTCGCCGGCGTGACCGGGCCGGCGTCTGACCGACAGGGGCGAGCCGGGCCGCGGCTGCGGTCAGAGCCGGCTGCGGCGGCGGCCCGGCGTGACCGGGCCGGCGTCTGACCGACAGGGGCGAGCCGGGCCGCGGCTGCGGTCAGAGCCGGCTGCGGCGGCGGCCCGGCGTGACCGGGCCGGCGTCTGACCGACAGGGGCGAGCCGGGCCGCGGCTGCGGTCAGAGCCGGCTGCGGCGGCGGCCCGGCGTGACCGGGCCGGCGTCTGACCGACAGGGGCGAGCCGGGCCGCGGCTGCGGTCAGAGCCGGCTGCGGCGGCGGCCCGGCGTGACCGGCCGGCGTCTGACCGACAGGGGCGAGCCGGGCCGCGGCTGCGGTCAGAGCCGGCTGCGGCGGCGGCCCGGTGTGACCGGGCCCGGCCGTCTGACCGACAGGGGCGAGCCGGGCCGCGGCTGCGGTCAGAGCCGGCTGCGGCGGGCGGCCCGGCGTGGACCGGGCCTGCGTCCTGACCGACAGGGGTCGAGCCGGGCCGCGGCTGGCGGGCCAGAGCCGGCTGCGGCGGCGGCCCGGCGTGACCGGCCGGCGTCTGACCGACAGGGGCGAGCCGGGCCGCGGCTGCGGTCAGAGCCGGCTGCGGCGGCGGCCCGGCGTGACCGGGCCGGCGTCTGACCGACAGGGGCGAGCCGGGCCGCGGCTGCGGTCAGGAGCCGGCTGTGGCGGCGGCCCGGTGTGACCGGCGGCGCCGCGCCAACCCCGGCCGGCCCGCCGGCGCCGCTAAACCGTAATGCAGACTCGGCCGCGGAACGGGGCCAGGCCGGCGGGTGCGCGCCGTCGCGCCGCACCGTTAGCCGGCCGCCGCTGGTCGGGCTGGGCAAGAGCTGTCACTGTGGCGGCGGCAGGCCGGCTGCCCGCCCCAGGCCCAGGCTGGTGCCCTGCGGGGCGCGGCCGGTGCAGCCGCTGGCTGTGGGACGCTCCGGGCCGGTCCGGGCCGGTGGGCGGCAGCCCGGACCGCCAGCTGGCGGCGGAAACGCGCCGGTATGCCGTAAGCCGGAGATTACCCGTCGTGACAGCTGCACTGCATGGCCTTTCAAGGCATCGAAATGCACAATAGCCCAGTCTATAAGTGGGAGGTATTGCCGCCGACTGTCGCGCGCACAGAGTAAACCCGAGTGGTTTGTAGCAGGTAGGTGTACTCCTTTCAGGGGATTCGTGGTGTGCAGAATGCATCTGTAAGAAAGTTAGCCCGCCCCAAGGACAGCAACCATTTTGTTGCGGGGCGTTTGCTCGTTAGTAGCGTCACGCTGCGCGGAGACGGTCTGCGCGGCCTTGGCTCCTGCTGACACGCGGCCGGCGGCGAGAACGCGGACGGCACGGCGTCGGAGCGCCGGTGGTCGGGGCGCCGGCCGCGCCGCCGTGGCTGGCGGCCGCGTCCTGCCGGCGCCCGGCGGCGCGGCGCCGCCTCCGATGGTGACGCGCCGCCGTCCTGCGCCGCCGTCCTGCGCCGCTGCCCTGCGCCGTCGTCCTGCGCCGCCGTCCTGCGCCGTCGTCCTGCGCCGTCGTCCTGCGCCGTCGTCCTGCGCCGCCGTCCTGCGCCGCTGTCCTGCGCCGCCGTCCTGCGCCGCTGCCCTGCGCCGCCGTCCTGCGCCGCCGTCCTGCGCCGTCGTCCTGCGCCGCCGTCGTGCGCCGCTGTCCTGCGCCGTCGTCCTGTCGTGCCGCGGATCGCCGCTGGAGCGCCGCCTGGGAGCTGTGGCCCGTCGGTCTCTGGGCCGCCGCCTCGTCCCGTCCCGTCCCGAAGTGTCGGCGAGGGCTCCTGCCGTTGCATTTGTGCGGCAGGTGATCAGAAAGAGGCCGGTAACGGTCGGTGCTCACCACTGCAGGCCGTGACACCGTGTCACGCTTGCTGATGGTCATGATTGCCCTTCATTCGGGCGTTTCGCATTTAAATCTCAAACTCCGACCAGAAAGCTTTCTATAGTTTTGTCAGAATTCGAGGAAAGTAGAAGGTAAGGAATTATTTTCTCCGTAAACTACACCGGTTTTAAAATGCAGGGCGCATTGCTCACTTACAATCAAAGGTCTGATGGTGTTGGTCTGACGACGCTGAAGACAACAAAACTACCGCCAAACCCAGCTATATCCGAGGGAGCGCACTCATCCGAGCAGTGCCGGCGTCCAGCTGAGCGCGACCCGGCGTCCAGCTGAGCGCGACTCAGCGTCCAGCTGAGCGCGACTCGGTGCCAGCCAACTGCCGT